CACACTTCACTCATTACAGTATAATTAATAATTCCGTGTTGCATAAGAAGATTTCCATCGTAGACCCTCGCGTAACTTTTTCATCGAGCACCCTAGCTCTTACATAGAATCCCGACAGATTGGGCTGCCGATGGCAGTTCCCATGGTGGTTGCGTCCGATTGGACCGCCATGGCCCCGGATCGAAGCGAAACCGGACGGACGCAGTCGCCATCGTACGGTACGGTAGCTACTACCCTCGAACAAAGCAGAACTTTTTCCGAGCCGGGYCCAAAACTGTTTGGTTCTCGGACTGCGACTCGTACTAGTACGTACTTCACGGGTGGGCTACGAAAGCGTGTGGGCGTGYCGTACGAGCAACTCGTACAGTACCGAATGCAATTCGAAAGAATTCGCCAGAGCGCGTAGTGCACGTACCACGGCAGGTAGTTTGCCGTGGCAAGGAAGGGAAAGATTCGTAGGCGTACTTATTGGTACCGTACGTACGAACTTCTGATTCGGATTTTCGTGTGCAGATTTGGAGATCCCCTCCCTCCCGCAGAGCATGCYCCGACCCTGAGTCACTATGATTTCGTCGCGTGGCTGGGAGAAATTGTTCCTCGTAAGAGAATGGCCTGTAGGCCTAGCGMGTCGGGTGGCGTGCGATCGATGCCCGTCGCTAGGTAACCATAACAAAGGACGACGTCTGCAAAGTTTCCCTCCCCGACCGGGATCGTATCTARAGCTCGCCAAACGACTGGCGAGCTCGCCAGGTTCCAACGGAATGTTCCAGAAGGTTCTTTGGATTCGAATTTCAAACGACCTGATGTTTTTCGTTTTTCAACGGAAACCGACAGGGGACGTGCCTTCGCGGGTCGTTTCCCGGCTGCTGGTTCAACCTGCACAAGCTACCGTACGAACCTGCACGACCAATTGGTGCGRAGGAAGGCGTGAGCGACGGACAGGACACAAGGGGTCTTCCAAGCTCATGACAGCACGATTCTCGTACCGGTACCTGTCTCTACGGACTATCCTTACCTCGATAAGTTGCGTGCGTAAGTATCCTAATGGGCCACATACTGTACAATGACCAAWATAATGACCCCTTCTTGCCTCGGTTTGTGACTCTACATCCTACTTCTACATCCCACCGAGTTGCAATTGAATAGTACCTAGTACACGTACGTACGATTACTAGTACCGTAAAAAATTCTCGCTCTTTGTTTTCACTACGTCGGAACGTATGTTGCGTAGTAATATGTCGTACATACTAAAGAACCACGAGGAGGCACTCACGAACAAAAGAAAGTGGGTTTCGCAAAATAATGGTACTACGAAAGTCCAGTACTAATTTTATTGTGTYTTCCATTCTGGAACACGGGACGAAAACAGAAGCGTTCGGCTCGATGGCACTGTTACAACACCACCCCCTCTGGCTTGCAACCGCTGCCGTGCCGTGCCGTGAACGACAAGGCGAGTTCCTGGTTGGCAGCTGCTAGTATCAGCACTCTATTGTTTCTAGTAAAGTTTGCGCAAAGCACGGAACAGAACCGTCCGTCCCCTCTCGGATGGAGAGGCAGCCCCGTCCTCCAAGGAGCATCTCTAGGASTACCGGGGTCCTCAAGGATTTCGTGCCACCCCACAAACCCGGGCGGTCTTTGGACCAAAGCGCTGGCAACCAAACAGCCAGCATCGCCAAAATAGTACCGCGCTGGCGTGTGGCCCYCGCACAGCAGGCGCCTTGACGGGCCATCCATTGCCATTGAGAAAACGAGGCCTGCCGCATTCCATTCCATTCCATCGCATCGCATTGCATCGCATTGCAACGTACCGTACCAGCCCTATTCGGCGCAGCAGTCCGGGGGATAGCTGATGGGGGCTTTCCTCCAGACCGGTGTCTGTGCCTCCTCCCCGGTGCAGGTGTACACTACTCCCGGTTGGCACGTCAGCCCCTCCGTGGTGCACCCCCGGTAGAGAAAGTCGTAGTAGCAGTCGAGCGGGGCGTCCCCGTTGGCCCCGTAGTGCCCCGAGCAGMCCGTCCCGCTAAGGGGCTCCTCCGGCGGACAGATCCCGGCGGGCTCGACCGACGGACAGGGCGAGCAGGTTCCGAACCTCGGAAAGCCCGGGTCGATCTCGCAGGGGCACGGGACGGGCATCACCGAGGTCCGCTGCCAAAAGCCGTCCTCGGCGTCGCAGTAAAAGTAGTCAATGGGGGTGCAGAGCATGCCCGTGGCAAAGGTGCAGCCCAGAAAGACGTGGTTGTAGGGGCAGCCCGCCAGGCGGTCCTCCTCCGAGGTCCCCGTGAACCTGCACTTGGTGCCGGCCTCGGGGGGGACCGGGGGGCAGAAACTGTTGGGGTCGCARGTTTCCAAGACGGGAAGGTCCGGGGGCGGTGGCTCCCTGCAAAAGGGCGGGTCGACGACGGCTTCGAACCACTGGCCGAGGCGGCAGCTCAAGAAAGCGAACGGGAGACACCGGAGGTCCTCGGCCACGCAGCCGGACCACCGAAAGTCGTAATCGCAGTCGATGCCCTCCTGCTCGGGGGAGCAGGCTCCTCCGCTTCGGGGCTTCCAGGCCGGGCACGCGGCCGGGGGCTCCGTTTCGATGCCRCAGGWCCCGCAGGTCTCGGGGCAGCCCTCGGAGGGGGGTTGCCGCCATTCCTGTTTCTTTTTTTTCTTCGTCTTGGTCTTGTTGCACAGCTTTTCGCGCTTTTGCTCGGACTGATTCCCGAGCCACTCGCAGGTCTGCCGCTTGCACTTCCAGCGGTAGTCCGGGTCGTCCTTGCACGACGACGACGACGTGGGGCGTGCCGAAACAAATCCCACCGAGAACAGCACCGGCACCAGCATCAGCAGGACCGTTGCAGCCCTTGGAAGAAGCCGGATGGTCTTCGACATTGTAGAGAACGTAATTTGTGGTACAAGTGCCTAAGCAGCTCTGAAGATAGAAAAAATCGAGTTCCGTGATTCTGTCGTAGATCGAAGCTTGAAGACGGACCGGGGAGAACAAATACCTCTACTCCGATCGGTTGTCTACTGTTTAGATTAGAAACGTTGGTTGTTGCGACGCTCCGAGCAAAAGTCGATTCGACCGACGGCAAAGAAAACCGAGGTGCGCACGACTACGATACTATGGTCAGTATCGTACAGCACAGCCTCGACGCTCCGAGCGGAATGAACATGAATAACCTGCGTTAGTCTTCTCAACAAACGGAGAGGCAGACACGGCAAATGTCGTGCCCACGCCAATCGTACCACTGAGGGAAACCATATATATTTCGGAATGATGTCTTCTCCSCAGCGGTGACTTGAAGGGCGATACTCCTTCTGCGGTAATCGTGATGTATCAATCAACCGAAGGCTTTGTTGATAGCGCGAAATTTGGATCGAAACCTGTCAGTGAAAATCAATAGTAACAGCCCAAAGCTTACACTTAACGCAATTTCCAATTTCCGAGTCAGTAACATTAAACAAAACAAAATAATCCATTGAAAACCAGGAAACCCGACAAAAACCTTCACTTCTACTACAACGTAGAACCGGTCTTTTCCTCGCTCCATCTACTACAGCAACGTACGGTAGGACCGGTCTTTTCCTCGCTGCGCTCCATGCCATCCCATGGTCTGTTGTGTACGAGTACCTGGTACTCCTCGTACGAATTGCTGTACCATACTACTACTTCCTCGGTTCCCAATAAAATGTCCCTTTTGCACCTTCACTACTGAAATAAGAAGGTCATTATTTGGGCGATTGGAATGCTTCTTTTTGCACCTAACAGATCAATTATACTATTATACAGTTATGAAGATTGTATACAGCAAAAGTGTCTGATGTACTTGCAATAGATATTGATAGACAGGAGCCCACCATTTTAGCATATGTTGTTCTTGGTTGTTGTTGTTTTTCATCATTTTACCGCTGCGTGGTTGTTGAAAGGTTTCTACTGGTCATTTAAAGACTGGACTTGGAGCATTAGTAGGAAGCTAGTCTTGTGTATTTTATCAGGCAATAAGAAGTGTGTACCACAGGAACATTCTTATGCAGTCTTAGTAGTCAGTCACTAGTAGTAGTAGAGGCATCAAAAAATGGCTCCAGGTGCATGATGCAGTTTTCAAGTGGTTCTGAAGAAAGGATGCGAAGAGAAAAAAATGTGCTGTGCAAATAGCGCAAATATGCCCCCTGTATTATTTACATGGAATAATTTCACTCTTGAATAGCAAGATGATAATAAATGCAATTGATACTCCTAGTACAGCAACAGCAACAACAACAACAACAGGAGGAGCAAGCGATACGGCAAGCAATACAGCAAGTGATGATACTGGAAGTGAAGCCTCTTCTTCTAAAAAGCTGCTGGGCAGGAACTTGACTACTAACAAGAACCAAAGACAAGCAATCATTCAGATCCTTTTGCAACAACCTGCACAACCAATCACTATGATTGGAAAGCTCCTTCCAAATGGAACTTTGAAGGAGAAAGAGAGAGGTGATCTTAGAACCCTTTCAACTGCAACTGGTATTCCAACCACTACTCTGCACAAACTTGTCAAACATGGCAAAATAAAGAAGCACAATGGAACTACAAAGCCTTTGCTTGCCTAACAGATGCAAACAAGCTCAAGCAAGGACACTCTTTAGGAATAGAAAAAAATGGAGGAAGTACAGTATTGTTGTTTCCTGAATTCATTTGGGTTATCATCTTGCATGCTTGTATGTTCCTACCTCAAAAGATAGTATCAATTGTACATTGCACACACCTTGTATTGCACCACTATCACACATCATTGTGGAGTCTTCACCTATTATTTTTTGAAMACAACAAAATCAAGTGTAACTTTGGCCAGCTAGTTTGAAGCCCCTCACCAAGAGCATTCAATACTAGATCCCCAACCACCCCATCCTCTAACCAATACTATCACCAAGGACATACTGTGTGGTCAGAGGAGAGACACCATAATGCGTTTCTTTTGGTTACTTACTGCTGACCTATTTTGTTGAAGTACTTTGTATTAATGACAGCACACCACAGCTGGGTCTATAGTAGTGGTGATGCTGGCTGGAGGTACTGCAATTCTTGGCCGGTGAACTGTACRATGAGCATGGCAGATGCCAGTGACCAACACTTCAGGACACTGCTMTCTGGTGACCTTCCAGCCCAATGTGGACTTCCTTCTTAGCAGGAGCAGAGCCTGTCCTGGAGCAGTTCTGACAATGGCCTCAATTGAGCTCCTCTGCAATACATAATTGGTGGATCCATTCAACGGGGTGTGTGCTAAACATTAGTACCCTTGGTACCCTCAGCTTGTCTAAGGATGCTTTGGTTCTGAAGATTATCATTCATCCCATGGTCGCATTGATGTTGAAACTAATTTTGAAGAGTGTGGCAAATCATTTTTTTGTAGAACGAATTGATRAACTGGCCATACTAAAGACCGATACTACTAAAATCAGCACGTTTTCATAAAATAGAAAACATTGCGTTCTATTTTATTCAGTATCTCAGAAACTAAACATACAATCTATAAACCTTGTGTCTCATCACGTGAGCAATTTTGAAAGGGTTATCCTTTGCCACAAGTGCTACTGCTGTAATCCGTCGTGCAATGGTTAGTTCGTTTTGTTGCACAGGGGTTCTCATCCTACAGAAATGGGCCGGTATCCTGATATGTAAGGCGCAACGTAACAAATTGGGCGGGGTCTTCCTCCCCTACCGCACACCGAACAGTGCCAGATGGCCTCCATCCCCTTTGATTTCTTTGCGATTGCGAGCTTTTGGCGCTTCGCCTCCGCATGGGCCTTTTTCCAGTCTTTCAGAATGCCCCGGGCGGCGTCTTCTGAGATGTCCAGGCGTTCCATTAGCTTCTGTAGGACGGCTATTTCTTCCCCCAACTTCGGGGAGGCCGACAGCAGTTGTTGGATGCCCTCTTGCGTGTTCAAACGCATTTCGTCGACAATATCATTGAGAGTCTTTAAGTGGTCGGTGCTCAGTGCTCCAAACGGATTTGCGTTCGTGGTTTCGACCTCTTCGGTATCGTTGGGTTCTTCGTCTGGAATCTCCTGCTCCTCGTCCTTTATATGTCTATGTTCCGACACGACTCTGGCCGAAGGAAGTGCTTCTCTCGATCGGTTCGAAGTCGCTTGGTCCGCAAAGTCCAGCGTGCTGCACGACAAACCAGTCTCCTTCTGCTCCCGCGACAACAGCAGCCCGTTGACCGCCTCTCGCACGTCGTCGAACACGGCGGTGATTCCTCGACCGGTGCCTTTCYTCTTGCCGCTGCGCCGTGCAACTCCCGCATACGTCTTGTCGCAAACGGTAGCAACGTCGCGGCCGTTGGCAAACTCCCTACTGCCGGCGAGTCTGGTGGCGAGCTCCAGCAATGCATCGCTTTCGGCATCGTCCTTCGGGAGCGGGATTTTTTTGCTCGCCAGCATCGAGACCAGGAGATCTCGGGTGGCAACTCCTGTGAGATCATTGAAGAAAATTCGCTCGGCGAACCTCGATTTCAGACCGGGATTGACGTTCAGCATATCGTTCATGTCTGCATCGTACCCAGCGAGCAATACCAAAATCTTTCCCTTAAATTCTTCGTCCGTGAGTTTCGCAACAAGCTCGTCTACCACCTCAGTCATATAGGGCCCGCCTCGCCGAGGATTCAGCTGGTAGGCCTCGTCGATAAACAGTACGCCCCCACGGCTCTTCTGCAGCTGCTCTGCTGTTTTCGATCCAGACTGTCCCGCAAATCCGGTGGTGAAATCTTTGGGGGTACATTCGTAGACCGTATCGTCGGGCAGCAAACCAAGTATTTTGAACATTTTCCCCATGCAGCGTGCCACCGTCGTCTTACCGGTTCCAGGGTTGCCAAGAAACAAATAGTTGAAACAAATGGATTCCTTTGGATCTTCACCCCGAGCTTTCGCAAATTGAATGACATTCTTCAATTCATCTATCTTTTCCCGTACGTCCTCCATGCCAACCAGGCCAGCGAACAGAACGCTAAGTTCCTCTTCGTTCAATTCGTCATTTCCCGGTATAGCAAAATCCTCAAGAGTCAATTCGTTCGAAGTTCCGTCTCTCTTTTGCAACCTTTCTTTAGCTTGCGACAACAAAGAATCGACAGCACCGGCATTGCCAAAATTTGGTTTTGCTCGGGCTCTCGCTAATGAGCGCACTGCTCGTTTGGCGACAGCAATCGTGACTTTTAAGCTACATTCTTTAGCTTTTCHAAACAGGATCTTCACCAAGGCATCGTCATTGTAATCGGGAAAAACAAACGCCTGTTCGAGCTGAAACCGACGAGACAATCCTGGATTAACGTTTTTGAACATGTTTTCCATCTCCTTGCGATAGCCTAGCATGACAACAGCTCGGTCATCACCTGGACGTGCCTGGATTTGCTCGACGAGGGTGTCGATCACTGCGTTACCGTACGGGTCCGTCGTTCCGTTTAGTCCGTTGCTGCTGCACAAAGCATAGGCTTCGTCGATTACCAAGACGTTGCCCTCGGCTGCACGCAGAATATCTCTAGTATTTTTTTCGGACGATCCAAGGACATCTCCCTTAAAATCGGATGGATTCTTAATGATCACTTCCCCTTTCGACAACAGTCCCATCTCCACTAGTAATTGGCCATAGAGCTTCGCCACCGTCGTTTTGCCTATTGGACGATTCGTTTATTAAAGCAATCAAAATGACATGAAATTCTGGAAGAAATGAAGCAACGAAAATATATTGTATACGTACCTGTGCCCGGATTTCCAAGGAATATCCGATTCAAAATTATTTCAAGTAGCGGACGCTCGGACTCCTCCCTCTTGAGATTACTTTCTCCCAACCGGATCAAGTCATCAATTTGTTCCTTTACAGGCTTGAGTCCTTCCATCTTTTGCAACTTTTGGTAAGCCTGACTTTTCTTTAGCTGTGTTTCCGTCAAAGCAACACCGAGTAGATCATCTCTTGTGAAGTTGAAATCGTCTGGACAGCGACCTTTTTGATTTTCTTTTGTAAGTCTTTTTGCTTGCCTGACTCTCACGCTGTCGAACAAATTTCGAACTGCACGTGCATTGCCAAAACCAGGGCGGTTCGATTGGCGTTCTAGTCGTCGCATAGCTATTCGGAGAAATTTGTCGTTTTCGCATTTAAATGGTGATTCACGGCGCTCTTTTTTTCCAATTGATTTTGTACTGGGATTTGGAGAGCCTGGATAATGCTTCTGGCTTTCACCTCGTGAAGAAATCCAGAATTCCCCATCGTGTGTCCAAGTTAGATTGTCTTCGGAACATGCAAGAGGGTTATCTTTGTCACCAATGTCGCTGGGATGATAACCAGTGGTATTGCCATATCCATCTCGCCATAGTCCTTCACTGCTGTTGCACGTCCAGCTATTTCCAAACCGATCGACGTACGTTTCTCCATTAGTACTATTGAATGCAATTTTTCTACCGCTCAATGTAAGTCGATTGTAATTCCTGGCCATATTCTTTTGCTTCGGCATCTTGGTTCTCAAGTTTTTCTCTGATGATTTTTCTTTAAACTCCATGAATCCCCTGAATATGGCTTCCATCTGAACCGCATCGTAATCGGCAAACCTAAATTGTTGCGGGAATCGAGACGGAAGACCATAGTTATGTTCGAACAGCTTTTCCATCTCTTTTGGGTAGCCAGCAAAAATCCAAACAAGCTTTCCGAATGGGCCATCGAGTGATTCTGAAATTGGCAAGATAAAATCAAGCAGCTTCTCTCCAGTTTGATCTGCTGATAGCTGATACGCCTCGTCAACGAATATAACACCACCACCTGCCTTTTTCACTTTTTTTAACATATCTTCCAAGTGAGAAATCCCTTTATTTTTTAATGAAGCCGCTGTAACCTCCAGCGTGATTGAGGTTTTTGGCAGTACAGCCAGCTGCTGCAGAAATGTAGAATAATACCGAGCGACGGTTGTCTTCCCAGTTCCAGGGTTTCCTTCGAATCTAACGTTGTAGGAAGAAACAGAAGCATCGCCCTGTCGTTGAGAAATTTTGATTTGGTGATACTGACCGATCAAAGCTTCCTTGACGTGGAACAAACCTATCATCATCATAACTTCATTCACAACAGAAGGAGCGGAAGGGTCACGTTCGCGGATTTTCGTCCAAGCTCTCTCGACTTCGCTTTCTTGCCCCGGCTTTTGCGACAACGAAGAGCGGATTTTTTTCTCTGCCTTCTCAATAACATCTTTGGCTTGATTTCGACCTATCTGGATAACATCCTGTGCTATACCACTGTTAGAGGTGTCTCGATAGGATAGAAAAAAATTTGCGGTTTTTATTGTAATCGACGGGAATTCATCGGAAGATGCAAAGGCAACAAATCGAGCCCAACACCTTATAGCGGCTTCAAATGTCTTCGGCGCTTCATCAGGAATATCTGCATCCACATGGTGCTTTTCAAAGGGGTCGAGTGAGTTATACAAGATGCAACGGAAAGCATTCAACGTTTTTCTATTTTGTTCACTTTGACTCGTTTTCATGCAGCTATCAATGAGGTCATCTGCTTCCAAGAACTTTTTATTCTTAAACCGGACCAAGGCATCACAAAAATCGGGATTGTTGAACAGACTATTGGGGTTCGGTGATGATACTGGTGATATATTGTGTGGTACCGCTTTGTTAGGCTTTCCTTCAGGTTTCTTTYCATCTTTGTAGAGGTCATAGCTGATGGCATTAGGATTCGAAAATACCTTTTGCGTTCTATCAGCGGATGAGATGGAATCATCTTTGGTTTTAAAGAGGCAATCGCCTGCAAAGATTTCGGCCATTTTGAAATTGTCGCTGTGTCCAGCATGGTCTCTATCGGACAAGTTCAACTCGTCCTTCTTTTGGCTTCCRTAATAGTCTCTATCTTCTGCATTTTTTTTAATGTTATCAGCACTATGGCGACCTTCGTTCTCGTTTTTATCAATTTCGTCGTAGATATTTTCCACTTCACTGGCCTGTGGTAGTTGATGATGAAATATTGTTTCTTTAGCTTCACCACTATCTCTGCCGCCAACAACCCCATTCATTCCCGCATGTAGATTGTGTTCTTCAATTTCTGTTGTTTCACCGGCTGCTTTAGCGTCATGGTCTTGCCGAGCTAGTAAATTGGACAACCGCTCGTCGAGCAGCTTTTGCTCGTAAACAATCATAGATAATTTGGCTTCACTTTCCTTGCTATCTTCAGCGGCAGCAAGTTTGGCTCTGACCAACATCAATTGTTCCTTTTGTTTCCGTATCTCCTGATTTAAATCTTCTCTTTTCCTTTCTATTTCCTCCTCTAATTTATCCAGTTTATCACACATTTTACAAACCTTCGGCCTTCCTTTCCAACATCGACCATTAATTGAATGCCCTCTAGAGCAGAACCATTCCATGATCTTGGTGCATTTGACTGTTGAATAACATTCACGCAATTGTTTATGTCCATTTGAGCACACATCCTCAACTTTTTCTTTGCATTGGATCAACGAATGCACATGCTGCACATGTCGGTGGCACTTTTTTGGACATTGGTGACCACAGTCGAGCAACAACGTGCATCGAAGAGCGCATCCACCCTCTGGAGCTAACCTAACAAAATCCTCTGGAGTTTGTATGTTGTGAAGCRTCTGATGCTTCTGACATTTCGCTGGAAAATAATCATAGACGTTTTTGTTCTTCTCAAATACATCTTTGAGATTGGACCACAGCCTGCGACCAGATGCGGAGGAGCACTCGCTGAGACTTTTAAGATTTCCTACTATATACATGCCTTCCCGTGCTCGTGAAAACAATACGTTGATCCGCTCTTCGGAACATAAGAAACCTATCCGCGCTCCTTGCGGATTTGACCGAACAAGACTAATAATAACAACTTCCGATTCTTCGCCCTGGAAATTATCTATGGTTGCAATTCGGATCGGGCTATCACGTTGTCTCTCGACATTGTCTGTTAAGTTTTGACGAGCAAGATCTCCAAAATCTTGATCCGACACGAAAGAACCAATTTTTGTTTCCTCAAGCTTCTTCCGAATGAGCGCCAATTGACCTAGATATGGAGTCAAAATAGTGATCTGCTCAGGGGAATATTGACCTTGCTGGATGATGTACTTTGCAATGCTGACTACCATATTAACTTCGAAAGGATTCACCTTTGTTTCCATTCCAACAGCAGCCGTCGCTTCATCGGCTTTTTCTGGGAAACGATGATCAAGAAAAACAACATCATTTGTGATTCCCGCAACTGATTTTCGYCCTTTGGTGTTTTCGTGATCTTCAAGAGATTCGTACAGTGCCATTCCACGGATTATGCGGGATATCTCGGGGCGCATTCGATGCTGAACGGTCAATGGAAAAACAGGAATGCAGCTTGCCGTGGAAGTAACTAATCGTTCGAATAAGCTGACGTTTAGATCAAATCCATGCCCAGATTCTTTCTGGAGACTGTAATTTTCAATCTTTGGCCGCAACTGTTTGTGATCTCCAATCATGATCAATTGTTGACATGAGTCTCCGAGGTTCGCAAGAACATGAGACTCTAGAATCTCGCCTGCCTCTTCAACAATCACGACGGATGGATTGATCATGCCCTGGAATTTTGCTGCGGCGACCGTTGTACAGCCAATTATTTTAGCATTCTTCAAAGCTTTCAGATCGTTTATTCGTCGCAGAGCTCGCAGGGCTTCCGTGTTTCTTTTCATTTTCTCTATTGTGTATTCGAGATCATACAATTTTGGTTGGATCCATTCCTGTTGCCACTTTTGGATCAACAACTTCCGCTCTCCTTCATCAAGCTTCCACAACCCTTCTTGAGGCATTTTCTGGTCGTGAAAGATCCCTTTATTCTTCCCACCAAACCATCTCTTCCATAAGTAGTTTGATTTGAGCGCCTTTCCATTTGCCCCAACTTTGACAAAACCATCGCTTTSCGATGTACTGGGAACCCGAAGTTCATCGAGTTTTTCGTAGTGCTCAGAGTCCTCCATCCAGATGCTTATGATATTCCACCAGTGTAGAGAGCTACCCCAGGTTGAATTCTTGCTTATATCTTTCATTAGACCCTTAAATTGTTCTTCCAATGTTTCTGATTCTCTTTTTATGGCTCCGTAAGCAGCCGACTCGTTTCTACCAAATTTGTTATTTACCGTCGAATTGATTTCACCGAGACACCTACGTTGAATTTTCGGATCAATTTTGGGTGATGATCCTAGTCGCACAAAAAACGTTTCGGAGATCCCAGCATCGATCAAGTCCAGAAGGAAACTATCGAGAGCGTGGTTGGTGTAGCATAAACAAAGGATTCGGAGAGGGCTTACCGCCGGTGCTTTACCCTCCAGATTGAGCATTGCCTTCACCATTTGAACTCCGATGTATGTCTTTCCGGTACCCGGTGGGCCTTGGACAAGCACAACATTCGAACGGAAAATTTCCTCTAGAGCACGTTTTTGAGCTTTATCACTGSTTACCGCCTTTCGCAAGGCCAAGTCGAGGTCATCAAAATTCTTACCTCCATGAGGAAGCTCAGGTTGCTTGGGCTTTCTCAGGTGGATCAATTGGTCACTCATAGGGACTTTATCCATTCCCTGTAATGCCTTTAGGATTGGTTCCAGCGAAAACAGACCTGCAGATGCATTGAAAAGTCCACTACTGTGATCTTCGGCCACCATCGATAAGCCTTCTTTCTTCTTAGCATGAAAATGCTCAAATAAGGGTGTGAGGAACCTCATGCTCTCAGGAGTAAAACTTATTCCTACTTGAAGGACTCGTCTCCCCCTCTTGTTTTCATCATAGACAATCTTGAGCGGCTTGAGTCGCTCGACAACGGTGCCGACTGCCTTAATCTTGAACTCCCGTTGCTGTGCCTGGTCTGTAGAAAGCGGTTTGTCTCCCTCCTCATTAGAACTGGTTACTAGGACTACGAGGGTTCCCTTCTGGAGCACMCGCTTACCGGGGCCTTTTTCAAAGAATTCGATTGCCTTGGAATTGTTTTCAGCACGGAGACGCTGTGACAACCGCAACGGAAGCGGAACCTGGACTACTACGTGAGGCTCTGGCTTCGATCCAAAACCAATAACGGAAGGGCCTGTCAAGAACAACCTGCGCTTGTGGGAAGGCATCTTCCACTCATCTCTGAGTTCCTCCTTGACGGTTCCGATGAGATCCTCCCTCATCAATCGAAACTGCCTATCCAGGGCCAAGGCTTCCAGACTTTTGTTAGCGTTTCCCTTGGTGCTCGAGTTGAAGCCTATATTTTCCTCTTTAGCTGTCACATCGTTAGATATAAGTTCGATGGGTGATGGGAGATACGGAGATTCAGAACAAGCAAGTTCCGACGTGGTCGGGACAATTGAAATAGCTCGAAAGTTAGTCTTGTCGTTGTCGTGATCGCGAACACCAGGTTGACGCATCACGTTCCTTGCGGCACCAAGAGATGACAATAAATCTTCGGGGGCTGGCTGGCAGTCTCCATCTTCCCTTTTCAAATTACCGTCTTCGGCGCTCAATTTTCTTGATTTGTAGAAGACGACGGCAAGTTGTTCGGATAGTTTGGGAAAACCGACCTGTTGGCTTGTATTAAGAAAGTCAATGACCTTGAGAACGTCAGGATCACTGAGGAGGGTTTCGTTGCCAGTAATACCAAGCTGTAGAAGGAACCAGGCGATCGTGGAGTGATCGTTTGGCCCTGTGAGATTTCCTTGAATTAGTCTCAACGCAAGATTTGGGAAAAATTCTTCGGCCTCGTACAGGGCCTTGAAGCACGTTATGCTTCGATCTTTGTACACCCCTTGGGTGAGGGCTTCATCACCAAGGGCCTCTAGTAACTTCAGAGGTTCACTGGGGTCCGGATGCAATAACTCAGTTGCTTCTCTCAGCACCGGCACCATATCGTCATCGAAATTCAGAACAAGCCGTTTCGAATTACCAGCGATTCCATAGTCCCGGGAAAGRATCTTGAAGACCTGTTTAGCGTCGCGGGCGTTTGACAGTGCTTTTTCGCCAGACTTGAGTTTTTTAATGTAGGAATGACGGTTCTGACTCGTGCCGCCCTTTCCGGTATTCTTTCGATTGTAAGAGGAAACCATTTTGCTTTATTTTCCAAACTATGGACAGTAGTTTTTCACGACATTAGGCGTAAAGAAAAAGGGATACTTGCATCAGCTACGTGACAGAAAATTTTCACCAGCGAAAACTTTCAGAATTCAACCGGTCTGGATCTCCCAAATGCTATTCAGTTCCGAAKTGTTTTCCCATGGTACTAGCATCACGGACTTCGAAATTTTTGAGAACCAATCACAAATTATTAGCGTATGGCAATCYTACCACTCGTTCTTTCAGATTGGGATTTTTGCGAGAATACCACCACGTGAGATTTATGACGGTGAAAGAAGTGCGTTGACCTTCAAATTTGTGTCGAGTAAAGAATTGAAAGCTAATACTGTATGTGTTTCGCTTATTTTCGCCATCAGATCGGCCCGACAGCTTTTCAGGTGTAGCGTGATTGTTCCATTTTATATGGAATTATCTGCTGGTAATCCATAGGATCGATGATTCATTCTATCGCAATAAACTCCCATCTCGGAGATCATGGTAGGTACTTTCGCGTTTTGGAAATGTGTCGAAATGGCTGTCATAATCTTTTGATTCTGAGTTGCTGTGGCAGTTGTACCGGCAGTTGTACCGGCAGTTGTACCGGCAGTTGTTGTGATGATCATTATTGAATTGGATTCATTCGTTATCTGTAAGATGAAAATTAATACAGTATTCGTTAAAGCTCCCTCCCGCTTTTCGGTGTGAGGATTGTAGCTAGTGAATAACCGAAAACGACTAAATATTGCAGGGCCCTCCGGTACCCACGCGCACATCCCCCTTTTCGAATTCCTCCCCTAGAAAACGTGGGTTATTTTTGGTGAAAAATAACCCACATTTTAGAATCATGGGTTATTTCGTGGGTTTTTATATTTGAAAAATAACCCACAAAAAAACCCAGGAACCCACAAATAACCCACAACAAAAGAACCCACGAATAACCCACGAATTTACAGTCATCTGGGTTGATGGAGAACCAAGAAGGATGTTAAGTATTTGAGTCATTAACGTTGTTACTATTTAATCACCGTTTTTAATTTTTGGAAAAAGGCCCAGCAGGTTTGTGGGTTTTTTGTGGATTATTCATGGGTTATTTTGTGGGTTATTTTGTGGGTTATTTGTGGGTTAACCCAGGAACCCAGGAACCCACATTTTATAACATGGGTTATTTTTTGTGAAAAATAACCCACGTTTTAGAATCATGGGTTATTTTTTGTGAATAATAACCCATGTTTCTAAAACATGGGTTATTTTATTTGAAAAAAAAAACACGAAATCATACCCCCAATATTAGATTTCAAAGGTGGGATGCGCGCGTGTTGGTTCCGGAGGGCCCAGGGCGGTTTCAACCGACGATAATTCAATTTTTATCATTGTTCTCCCATCTCCATTTCCCCTCTCCCCCCCTCCACACATCTATTAGTGGTCCTTACTACTGGAGAGGTAAATGCTTCTGGAGAGGTAAATTCATTCCTTGACTGCTTGAGAATTTCCATTAGTGCTTAGTACTGCTGGACAACCTCTATTAGTGCTTTATATATATATATTCTCGTCTCTTACTATTATTAAGATACAGGCATATATTATTTTATGAGGCCTACTGCTTTTMTTCCTGGAATGATAGTATCAGTAGGACACTCAAAATACCAGAATTGGTAATAATTCTGCTGTGCACCAAAGACTCACTTTTAGGTCAATAAGTCATCAGTAATTGGCAATAATCTTTCACAGTACAGGGCAATAGGCTATTCATGATCCAACAAGAAGCATATATGTTATATGCAATCAAACCATTCCACATGCCTTGCTWTGCAGCAGCAAGCTGTCTTTGTCTCATCAATGTCCTTAGTGTTCACCTCCCAGGTTCCAATGGAGAAAAACTGYATCATGCTCCCTGACTGGCAGCTCAAGTTTGATGCCACAGGCAATCAGCTGGACTCTGTCAACATGACACTCTGTGGACCAAGCAAAAAAAGACAACCCAGTTGTACATTAGCAATCATGAATATACAGCCCTATATAACTTCATATGATCAATAACCCCCTATAACCCCCCATATCACTGAATTTGTCTTTTTACTGGGATTCAATTCATGTGCTTATAATTGTTAAGTGTCCATCAGGGACAAAGTTATAGCTGTTCAAGTGAATTGAACCTCTATTAATGCTCTGCCTGTTTTTCTACTGTGTGTGGATTGTGGGCCATCTAATTACCATGTACTAATGACTGCTGTMTGTAGGATATCAGACCATGGTGGGCATGACTCATATATACAACACATACATATGACATGTATCTGCAATTCATACACACCACACATATATGACTCACACAATCCCATTGGATTCATATGATCAACATGACTCATTTCATTCACTTTTGTGAGTGACCCGACTCATTCGATTCACACATCACTCAATCCTTGCAGTGATCGATTCTAGATTTCATAGTTTGTCGATCCTTGATAAGAGCATCGACTCACTTTTCTTCTAGCATACATTTTACATCACTATTAGGACAGTCACTCCCACAATGACTCAAGGGATTAAAAATTTGACTTGTACTAGGGCAAGTGAAACTATTTGGTCGCATGAATGTGGGATTCAAAAATTCAGCACGTGCTGGCTGCTGTAAACTGCAGTACAAGCCATTTTTTTAGTCATAGGAAAAATGAGGGCCCRTAATCTGCGGCTGGATTGTAGATCTGCTAGACAACTCCTCTATAGGATACCACAGTATATTCTAAGGGACTAGTAAGCAGATATAAATTAATGTCATTGCACCATGCTTTTTAAAAGCAGAGGTGTTGGTGGGGGGGGGGATAGTAAGGGTGTTTTAGATAGATAAAAATGATTAAGATTGTGTGTTTGTATGTTCAAGCACTGATAGAAGCTTCCCCYGCATATATAGTGTGTTTAGTAATAGGACACTATGACTGTGTGTGCAGGTGCTTGTGTATACTAAACATACAAACGGTTAAGTTGTCATGAATTGTTGCTTCGTCACAATTCAACCAGCAGTTGTAGTCATATGCAATCCATTTGTATGGATCAATCTTATGTACATGTCATTCAAATATGCCAGGACCAGAACTTCTGGTAGAAGAATGCTCCTACTACTAGCTGCTGCTCTGAGAGGCAATGCTTTACTCTGAGGATTTGAACCCCCAACCTCAGCACCTCCTGTAGCTGGGTTGTACTCAGTACAACCCAGCCACCSTTGACAGAAGATCCAAATCTAGTCCTGAATCCAAGAATGAAAATCTTAGTACTAGTACATGTACTCAAAAAGCATGCTGGGTGCCTTCTTTCAGCCCTCTTAGTAGTAGTACTACTACTAGTAGTCATTTCTTCAGTTGAGATTCCAAGAAATTCCCTTATGAAGCAACAAGAATGGTGATACTACTAGTAGTACTAATAGTACTACTACTACTACTACTACTACTACTAGTACTACTAGTAGACAGCATCACAAGCACTTACTAAAAACTGTCTATTGGGACCCTATCTTTTACTGAATCCCCTTAAACTAAAAAACTAAAGTAGATTCTTTAGACCTTTCTTTGATCGTCTAGACTAACAGGAATGGCCCATTTTCCTCCCCCCATTATTGGAAGCACAATGTAAAGTTTCGGTCTGTGAGTCTGTCGAAAACCCAACGAAGCCCTTCGCTTTCCAGGACTCGATGACTGCAAAGCAATGCCGGCGTMAAGAAAGTCTTTTCAATTTTTTTTCTTCTTCGCCTAGGTATTCCGAACTTTTTTCCGAACAGCATTAGGCACTAGTACTCGTACTTATGACAATACTCTAACAAATCAATATTGCCTGATGTACCACCACGTACGTTTTATTTTTCAATGAATGCTTAAATGTCAAGCAAAAGTCTTTTTTCAAACAGAGAAGATTTGAAGAAGCTTTGAATACGGTAGAAGATCATCAACGCTTGGTACCCAAGTACCAGGTACTCGTAATTGTACGAGTACTAGATGATAGTAGCAGACTCATCCATCATTACCCCTCCTTTCGCCCCACTCCGATAACCTCCGGACGTAAATCCAACCAAGAGCGATCGAAGAGAGAGCAAGATACTACATCGGCAAAAAACAGAGTTAGAAAAGAAGACGTCGAGTTTTGGCAATTCGTAAGTGCTGTTCTAAGTATATGAGTTAAAGAACCGAATAACGCGGTAAGCAACGTCAACGAAGAGATCGTTACTGATCTAAAAAAATGCGTGCGAGAAGGACCAGGAACGAGAAAGATGATCCCCTCGACTTTCCCGAGGAGCGGGTCAAGGAGTTGGTAATCGAACTCTTTCGAATCCTTCTTCAATACCTCTCTGAACTCTGGACTGCAACACTCGTTGCTATCGACCATCATGGGAAGGAGGCCCAGAAACAGCTACTGAAATGGTACCAGGAAGCCCAGGATTCTCTTGCCGATCGTGCTTTGATTCTGTACAACAAGATCCCTGATTCGTGGCACGAACATAAGCGTTCCGTGTCCAATAGGTGCTCCGAGATCTTCGAGGCTTCAGACGAATGGCTCGAAAGAACGTTGGAGTTGACCCGATTCCGACTCGCACTCCTGCCCCCTCTGCTTGAAGATGCGCGTCATTCCTTTGAAAACTTACCTCTTGAGATGCAGGGATCGATCGCGCTAGCCGTTGTCCTGGTGGCTCTTGGGTGGGTCTTATTGCTGCGGAAGCTGTGGCGAAGTTACTGCCGTAGTCTAAGGAAACACAATCGGCGCAAACGACGAAAGCTGAGAGTCAAAGAAGGGCAGGCAGAGATCTTGCACGGCCGGACCACTTTGGTTTATGGAGCCCACGGAGATTTAAGGGACGAGGAGTACTTGGACGACGAATCGATCACTAGCAGTATGCGGCGCAGGGGGTTCGGACGCTTCGGGTTTGATTTCTTTGGTATCAACAAGTTTGCGGCGTCTCCAAAGAAACGGTCTCCGTCGAAAAAAAAACGACGGGCAGGTAGCCAAGACAAGTACAATCGAAATCGCGGACGGAGCAGATCCTCAGGTGATCACAACTTTGGCTCTCCAGCTCCGAGGAAGCGCACCAGTTCCACCGAGAGCTTCGGTAATCCAGCAATGATACGGCCGCGTAGTAACAGCTCGGGAAGCCTGGGAGACACCGTAGGCGGGTTTCTACAAGGCTTTGGGAGCTTAGCGACACGCTTTGCAACACAAGGTAGTAGCAACAGCAGTAACATCGCTAAAACAAAAAAGGCGCAGACCCCCAGATTCAAAAAAGAACGACTGGGAAGCATGGACGTCTTTTTCGCTCCCGGGAAGAACGGCCAGCCTACCCCCTCGACACCCCGAACGGCTAGAAGTGCAAGCTATGACTCGGGCAGCAAAATATATCCACACACGAGACGACAAGTCTCTACCGAGGAACCTCTAAACGATACTGTCAACACATGGGAAGAAGGGCGACAACAGCCAAGACGCGATGGTGGATTTAAGAGTGTACAGGCGGAACGCCATTACTACAATGGGGATGACAAATACGGAGACCAAGACTCAATCGACAGCAACGATGAAGATGAAACAAGATATTTATACGACGAGTTTGGGGTGGTGACCTTGTCTCATAAGGTTACATACCACGGACCCTTCCAACCATTGCTACATTGTGGATCGACCCTTGTTCCGCCTCTCCCCCTTGAAGTGGTAGCGCGAAAGATATTCTCTGCCGAAAACGACTTACCCCTCAAGCGTGTACTCAAGCTAGACTTACTCAAGAATACTCTTACCGTGGTCGAGCCCTCCACTAGCGTGAGTCAAAATGGAAAATGGGACGTCGTGTACGAGGACATTGACTCCATTTCATTGAAATTCAAGACTCCTCTCGAGGGCGGAGCTTTTTGGATATACAGAAAGGGGACGCCACAACACAATGCAGAGCACTGGAAGGAGCACACGTCTGAATCAGCCCATGCTGCTGCCCAATTTCAGTTGGACTTCTTGGCCTTCCAGATTTTGGGGCAGTCACTCAAGCAAATATTCGAGGCTCTCAATCTTGTTCACCAGGGGAGTCTCGCTTATAGCGGGCAGGAATTGGTACTRCACGACAATCATCGGGGGAGCGATGGTTCCGAAGAAAATGAGAATGGCGACAAAAAGGGAAATAAAAAGTCTACCACTAAATCAGTAGAAGCCACCCAGTGTGTTGCATGGGATGATGCGATGCGAGCAATGAGTAGCATCCCGACCGTTCGTATCGCTCTGGAAAGATTGTGGCTCTCACACCGACGTCCGAAYGAGATTTCATCATCCTTTCAAATCAAAGACAAGAGCAAGCGGGCGAAAGAGACCAAAGAGAAAGAGCAAGAGCAGAAGAATATCACAAGGGAAAGGAAATCTCCAAAGAATGCCAAGGAAAAGTCCAAGATTGCGCTCGATAGCGAAAAAGTCTCCGATGCCGACTTGAGCCTACTAAAGGAAGAATACATTAAAAAGCGATTGCTCTTAGGACCAGTGGATTTCTTTCGGTTGTTTGTTCCCACCCTACCGGAAACAGCTGTCCCCGAGGGCGATACGAACAACCGCGGGCGTATGGAACAACTTCTGCGATGGAGAAAGCGCGTTGCACGGGCTTCGGTCCTTGTCCGATCCTACGCCCGGGCCAGACGTGTGGCCAACAAGGGTTGGGATCTCGAGCAAAATGTTTCACAAAACTTTATCAGTTCTGCCCTCGAAGTATCGGGGGCCAGCCTTGGCGACTTTGGAGGTGAGGAACTTACGAAACGGTTTGCCTACGATGGGAACGCAAACAATAATTTGAGGGATATTGCCGCCAAGAACGAAATCTACGAGGCCTCCGTCTCGAGGGATGTAATGTGTCACGTAAGACCTTTTGATTACTTATTGAGCGACGAGGAAAAGAATGGACGTGGTGTAAACGAAGAGAGCGAAGCTKGGAAGCAGGATGGCGTCGGTAATGATGATAGCAGCAGTTTGGGGGAGGAAGAAAATTCCGAGAAACACCTGGTCATGAGTCCCTACCAAGCATACACATACGTCACCACGCATTACTTCAAGGCGAGCAACGACATGCTATGGAAAGGTGGCGCTCTTCATCCTTCCCGCGATCCAGTGGAAATGTTTCCATCGCTGAAACATATCATTGTAAACAACCCAGACCTTGACTTTTTCGTGGATTGCACCAGCAATGCTACCAACAATGTAGTAATGATCAGTTTATTTGTTCGGTCTTTGCCGAAGGGCATCGATCCCCAATTCGACAATGTTGTAAGTAGCATGATTGGTGGCATTTTTCTGCGTATCGCTAATGTTTTTTCATTCGAATTAAGTCTCACATATCTCTTGCTGCCACACGGGGAAAGATTGAACGATTTTCAAATTCATCAGAGAAAAGTCGTAAAGAAAAATTGTACCTTATGTTTCAGTTGGGGAATGGTGCCGATCTTACTTTTTTTGGATGGCTCTTTCTCAAGCTTGTGTCGCTCTACTTTCGGTTGACGGACACTGGTAGAGATTCTCCTATGAATCTTTCAGCAGACGATCGATATGGATTTCCAGGAGTCAGAGCTGGAGGACTGTTTCGAACATATCACTTTGGTGGATCACTGCAAAAGGGTACCGATAAGCCGAAGAATTATATTGGGGTGACAAAATGTGTTGCAACATCGTATCAAGAACGAGTCTTTGGCAAAATGCTTTTCGATAAGCTCCAGCAAGAGATGACCACCAGCACCATTGATTATACTTATGTAATCGAGGGGACGCAGAACGATGAGCTTCCAGAAAGAGCCTTGTCTACTCTTCGATTTGTTCACGTCGATCCCGTCAAGGTCGCACAAGATCCCCGAGTGCATCTTTCAATTGTTGAAGAAACTGAAGAAGACGAACCAAAATCGTCACGCCCAATCCTGCAGCGATCAAAACCCTTTTCTCCTCTCTTATTTCGAAAAGCATTTGAATCAGTGTTACGATTCGGTGAATCTGGTTTTAATGTTTTCTCAACGAATAAGAAAAAGAAAGGTTCTCTGCAAGCCATTTCAGAGGAGGACGAGCGCGGATTTTTCGACGAAATTCCAGAACATTTATTAAGGGGCAATGCAGAATTGGACTATCGCGAAAAAGCCACCGATTTGGTCATCGACATTCTGCGTTCAGTGAGGGTGCCATTCCGGCACAAACCAGAGCACTTTGATCCAACGGATTCGACCAGATGGCACGATGAAACCGAAGAAACAGGCCTCGTGGTAATGAGTAGGATTCCCGTTCTTAGACTCTTTGATCGGAGCGACATTCAGCGCTACATTTTCCATTCCGACTATGACCTGAAGYTAGCTTCCAGGCGGCTTGTGGAGACCGCAGCATGGAGAGGGAAGACGTTTCCGATCGACAAGCGGAGTTGTCGCATCGAGTTGCAAAACGGACAGCTCTTCCAGCAAGGATACGACAGGAAGAACAACCCAGTCTTTTACTTTCGAAATCTGTGTCGTGGACCGTGGCGGGGAGACATCGATGCAGCTATAAAATCAATTCTGTATCGATTTGACAAGAGGCTTCGCGAACTCTGCAAAAGCAATCCAAGCACACGGGTGACCTTGGTGATTCTAATGGGCCATGCGAAACGGGGTGCGAGAAAGAAAAAAGATGCAGAGACTCTGATCCTGGAATCGGTCAACGAAGCCGATGCCGAAGACGACATGATTATCGATGAACGCAACATTTCCGCGGGAACGATGGTGTTGGACATCCCGAGCGAGGAGGAAATCAAAGTCCATTCCGGGAATCCACGGATTTCAACCGAAGAAAAATGGATGTGCCACACCAACATGGAAATGATCCAAAGAATCTTTCCGCAGTTGATCCGCCACTACCCCGGTCGTCTCTCGGGAGTCTTAGTGGTSAAGGGAAGGGGGAAAAACCATTATTACCGGGACGCAATGTCGGGAAGAGCTATGGCAAAGAGGCTGCTCATCGAGGCCGGTATAGACGACTGGAAACAAGCAATGGGCAAGATTCGTTTCGTCAACAAAACTGCCGACCTGATCACTCACATTTCGCTGAAGGATCTGCCAACATTTGTGGGGGGAATCGCGCCGATTCGTGACTCGGCCTACGAGTTTGAATAGTCTTTTTCCGGAGTGCCTCTTCGTGGAGGCACCCAGCGATCGGTTCCGGAATCGGAGCAGAGCATCACATTATTATTGCTCCACACCGGTCTCGGTTCTACGACAAGTGCAAGTACAACTCAAATGAATCCATCCCTTTTTTAAGTGTTACGCYGGGGGTTGCACGAATTGTTCCGTGACCACGGCCCAGAAGAACGACGCAAAGAAAGCCACAACGGGAACCGGGAACAGATACGGCCGTTTCCCGACCAGCGCTCCTTCCCACCGGGGCAGCGCTTTTGCCAGCGATGGGTTCTCGCCGTTCCTCTCGCGGATTTCCCGCCTTTGCGGCCCGCGGGAGACCCTTAGGTGATCGATCGCGGCCTCGATGGCGTGGGTCCCGTCCAGAAAGAGAACGTTTTCGTACTCGATCGGCTGCCCGGAGGTGTCAAAAAAGTCCTGCTTCCGCGGCTGTCCGTCGTTGACGATGGGCCGGGTGACGAGTCCCCTCGCGGCCATGGCCGCAATCTCTCCCACCGCATCGACATCGATCGGCGACGAAAACACCTGGAGAGAGAGTGAGAGAAAGAGAGTGAGAAGCAAGAAGCGTGTCGGAAACGACCGAAACAATCCCGGTAGACGATAAGAATTACATAACACACAAAACACTCAACACACAACGCAACGCAACCA